ACAACCCAAGTGGAAACACCTTGAATTAAGAATCTCGGTGAAAATCTCGACCTCTATCTTGAAACAGATGTTCCATTATTGACAGGTGTCATCAACAACTTTTGAAGCAAATGTTTAGAAGATTACGGTTTGGACCCTGCTCGCTATTACACACTTCCCAATTTTACTTTGGGATTCCATGTCATCAAAAGGGGTGCAACACTTGATTAGACATATGATTATATGAAATGGTTGCGAAGGATAGAATCCCCTATATGACCCCTAAATAATGGTTTCCATTTTCCTTTTCCATTAGCCCTTAAACCCCCAATATACCCTAAACCCTAACCCCCTAATAGAACCCCAGCATACAACTCCTTGGATGCAGCTTGGTGGCTTCAGGGAAAGCCGAGTCAGAATGGACCACCCCCATGTATTGTCCCTTTGGGGCAATATCTAGGGAATAGAATATATTGGGGTTATGTGGGGATAATGGAAAAGAAAATGGAAACTACTACTTAGGGTTTAGGGTTAGGGTTAGGGTTAGGGTTTAGGCGTACGTTTCCAGCACCTTACAGGCAATTGTCGACGCGATGCACGGAGACGGGCGTGATTGCACGGTTTCTGAGAAAGCATTTCAGAGGCCGTCGTGAAGCTTCACCCACGAACCCGAAACACGGATAAGTTGCAGGTACTGGGGAAGCGTGTCTGACCTCGGGCTCAGTGCCGAGCAAACAGGGGAGTGTTTCAGCTGGCCTGAAGCAGAGAGAACGCAGCATCCTTCACGAGGTCTCTCTTGTTTCGACAAGTTTCCTCAAAGCAAGGACTCGCACAGCAAATGACATGCAAAGCACCTGTAAGTATTTGTGTATTGCGCACTGTGCCGGTGGCATATAATATACCATAGTAGCTTCCATTTTCTTTTCCATTATCCCTATATAATCCCCAATTAACCTCCATTATCCCCAATATATAGCCCTAGTCATATCCGGTGGCACTATGTCAGGAAGGCGTCTCCAGAGGTCTTCCCTCCGCAGCTTTCGGCAGCTTTTCGCAGCAGCCTGAGCCCATCATGTGTTGACAATCGACTCTCGAAGGTGACTGACTGATGGTGATGGTTATGGTGGTGATGGTGATGAGGATGAGGCTGAGGATGAAGACAAATGCCAAGATGACGAATATGATAACGACGAGGATTATGACGTTTAGATGTCTAGCCGGAGCTTAGGTAGCAAGTTACCTGGGTCGCTGTTCAGGAACTTAATTTAAGTTACTATATTGGGGAAGCCATGTTAATTACTATATAAACCCATTATGGTAACTTAATTTAAGTCCCTTAACAGCAACCCAGTTACTGCTTCGATCCTGGCAGGCCAAGGAGGTCCGGGAGGTGCTTGAAGGTCCTCGCAAGGACTCGGCTGACTGTTGGTTGTGGAGTTTGGGTTCAAGCAAAGCTTATGGCTTAGGGCTTAGGGTTTAGGGTTTAGGGTTTAGGGGTTTAGGGTCCCTAAACCCTGAACCCTAAAGAGTTTCCGGGCTTTGTGTCTTGCGCGTTTTCGTCGCTGACTACACAGCAAGCATATGGTTCCGGTGTCTGGTCTCGTGCGAAAGGACAGCAACGAGCCGCTGCTTTGGGCTCTTTGCGAGGCATGTTCAGCCCAGCCCACAGTATTTAGGGTTGAGGGTATTATTTCAACATAGCAGTACTACTGCGAGTGTCAATAATAGTAGTAGTAATGATACCCCAAACCCTAAACCCCAAACCCCAAACCCTAAAACCCCAAACCCTAAACCCTCAAACCCTAAACCCCAAACCCTAAAGCCCTAAACCCCATATTGAGCGGACTTCTATTGGGTTCTATTGGGTTGTATTGGGTTATATTGG